TTTAACTGTGTTTATTCTTCCAATCCATGTGCATGGAATATCTTTCCATTTCTTTATGTCATCGGAGATTTCTTTGAAAAATGTCTTAGAGTTTTCATTGTATAGCTCTTTCACCTCCTTGGTTAAATTTATTCTTAGATATTTTATTCTTTTTGTTGTGATTGTAATTGGCATTGTATTCTTGAGTTCTTTTTGTTTTGCTTTGTTATTAGAGTATAGAAATGCAACTGATTTTTGTAAGCTGATTTTTTACCCTGCAGCTTTGCTGTAGTTGTTGATTATTTTGAATAGTTTTCTGATGGATTCTTTAGGATTTTCTATATATAGAATCATGTTTGCAAACAGCAAGAGTTTCACTTCTTCCTTGCCAATTTGGATACCTTTTATTTCTTTTTCTTACCTAATTCCTTGGGCCAAAACTTCCAGTATTTTATGTTGAATAAGAGTGGTGAGAGAGGACACCCCTTGTCTTGTTCCTGTTCTCAGAGAGATGGCTTTCAGTTTCTCATTGTTAAGTATGATGTTGGCTGTGGGTTTGTCATATATGGCCTTTATTATGTTGAGGTGCTTTCCTTGTATACCCATTTTATTGAGAGCTCTTTATCATAAATGGATGTTGGATCTTGTCAAATGCTTTCTCTACATCTATTGAGATGATCTTGTGGTTTTTATTCCTCATTTTGTTAATGTGACGTAGTACATTGATTGCTTTGTGGATGTTGAACCATCCCTGCATCCCTGATATAAATCCCACTTGATTGTGGTGTATGATTCTTTTAATGTATTGCTGTATTCAGTTTACCAATATTTTGTTGAGGATTTTTGCATATGTGTTCATCAGTGATATTGGCCTGTAATTTTCCTTCTTTGTGTTGTCCTTGTCTGATTTTGGGTTCAGGGTGATGTTGGCCTCATAAATGAGTTAAATGTTCCATCTTCTTTGATTTTTTGGAATAGTTTGAAAAGAATAAGTATTAAATTTTCTTTGAATGTTTGGTAAGATTCTCCAGAGAAGCCATCTGGTCCTGGACTTTTATTTTTTGGGAGGTTTTTGGTTGCTGTTTCAGTCTCATTACTTGTGTTTGGTCTATTCAGATTCTCTATTTCTTATTGATTCAGTTTTTGAAGGTTGTATGAGTCTAAGAATTTATCCATTTTTTCTAGATTGTCTAGTTTCTTGGCTTATAGTTTTTCATAGTATTCTCTTTTAAGCCTTTGTATTTCTGTGGTATCTGTTGTAATTTATCATCTTTTATTTGTAATTTTATTTATTTGAGCCTTCTCTCTTTTTTCCTTAGTGAGTCTCGCTAAGAGTTTGTCAGTTTTGTTTATCTTCTCAAAGAACCAGCTCTTAGTTTCATTGATCCTTTCTACTGTTTTTTTGTTTGTTTGTTTCTATTTCATTTATTTCTGCTGTAATTTTTATTATTTCCCTCCTTCTGCTGACTTTTGGCTTTGTTTGTTCTTCTTTTTCTAGTTTTGTTAGTTGTAGTTTAAGATTACTTATTTGAGATTTTTCTTGTTTGTTAGGGTGGGCCTGTATTGCTATGAATTTCCCTCTTAAGACCACTTTTGCTGCATCCCATATGAGTTGGTATGATGCGTTTTCATTTTCATTTGTCTCCAGATATTTTTTAATTTCTCCTTTAATTTCTTCATTGATCCATTGGTTGTTCAGTAGCATGTTGTTTAGTCTCCACATATTTGTCACTTTCCCAGTTTTCTAGTTGCTAGTTTCCCAGATTTCTAGTTTCATAGCATTGTGGTTGGAAAAGATGCTTGATATTATTTTAGTCTTCTTAAATTTATTGAGGCTTGCCTTGTTTCCCAACATATGGTCTATCTTTGAGAATGTTCCATGTGCACTTGAGAAGAATGTATATTCTGCTGATTTTGGATAGAGTGTTCTATATATATCTATTAAGTCCATCTGGTCTGGTTTTTCATTTAATTCCACTATTTCCTTGTTGACTTTCTGTCTGGATGATGTATCCATTGATGTAAGTGAGGTGTTGAGGCCCCCTGCTATAATTGTGTTGTTGTTAATTTCTCCTTTTAGATCTGTTAATAGTTGCTTAATGTACTTTGGTGCTTCTGCGTTAGGTGCATATATATTTGTAAGTGTTATATCCTCTTGGTGGAGTGTCCTTTTTATCATGTATATTGCCCCTCTTGATCTCTCATTGCCTTTTTGGTCTCTCATTGCCTTTTTTATCTTGAAGTCTACTTTGTCTGATATAAGTATGGTAACATCTTCTTTCTTTTGTTTGCCATTAGCTTGGAGTATCCTCTTCCATCCCTTCACTCTAAGTCTGTGTTTGTCTTTAGTGCTGAGCTGTGTTTCCTGGAGGCAGCACATCATTGGGTCTTATTTTTTAATCCATCCAGCCATTCTTTGTCTTTTGATTGGAGAAGTAAGTCCATTTACATTTAGAGTGATTATTGGTATATGAGGCCTTAATACTGCCATTTTATCTATTGTTTTCTGTTTGTTCAGTATTTCCCTTGTTTCTCATCCCATGTGTTTCCAACTGCCAGTTCTGTTTGGTGATTCTCTATGATGGTTTTCTCAGTTTTCTGTTTATTTATCATTTGTGTCTCTGTTCTGATTTTTTGTTTAGTGGTAACTGTGAGGTTTGTATAAAAGATCTCATAGATGAAATAGTCCATTTTATTTATTTATTTATTTATTTTTAAAGATTTTATTTTTTTCCTTTTTCTCCCCAAAGCCCCCCAGTACATAGTTGCATATTTTTAGTTGTGGGTCCTTCTAGTTGTGGCATGTGGGATGCTGCCTCAGCATGGCTTGACGAGCAGTGTCATGTCCATGCCCAGGATCCAAACCAGTGAAATCCTAAGCCACTGAAGCGGAGTGCGTACCTAACCATTTCTTATATATGGGGCTCTTGTGGCGATTAACTCACTCAGCTTTTGTTTATCTTGGAAAGTTTTTATTTCTCCATCATATATGAAGGATATTATTCTTGGCTGAAAATTTTTGTCTTTCAGTATTTTTAATATATCACTCCACTCTCTCCTGGCCTGTAAGGTTTCTGCTGAGAAATCTGCTGAAAGCCTGATAGGGATTCCTTTGTAGGTTAAGTTATTTTCTTCTGCCTTGCTGCCCTTAATAGTTTTTCTTTGTCATAGACTTTTTGTTGGTTTTACTAATACATGCCTTGGAAGTCTTTTTACATTGATGTAATTGGGAGATCTATTATCTCATTTACATGTAATTCCAGCTCCTTCCCGAGGTTTGGGAAATTCTCAGCTATTATTTCTTTGAACAAGCTCTCTGCTCCTTTCTCCCTCACTCCTCCCTCTGGAATACCTATAATACTTATGTGGCATTTCCTAATTGAGTTGGACATTTCTTAGTGAATTTCTTCATTTCTTTTTAGTCTTAATTTTCTCTCCTCCATTTGCAGAATTGCTCTTATTTCTGTCCTCTAAATTACTAATTCTATCCTCCATAATATCAGCTCTGTGTTTTTAAGGACTTCAGAGTTGGTTTTTTTTTTTATCTCATGCATTGTGTTCTTCTTGGGTTTTTTAAATAGTTTCAGTCTCTTTTGTGAAGAATTCCCTCTGCTCATTAATTTTATTCATGAGTTCATTGAACTGTTTTCTTGTAACTTGTTGAGTCTCTTTATGTTAACTATTTTGAATTCTCTGTCATTTAGATTGTAAATTTCTGTGACTTCAGGATTGGTTTCTGGGTACTTGTCATTTTCCTTCTGGTCTGGAGTGTTAATATATTTCTTCATGCTGTTTGATGGTGTGGACTTTTGCCGTCGCATAGTGGTAGTATCTGGTCACAGATTCCACGTGCCACTACTGGGGTAGGGGGAGGGCATGAGCTGTGTTTTCTGAGCCCACCACAACCCCTGGCAGTTGTGCCTGTCCGTTGGAATTTGTGCCAATAGGGATCTCTGTGTCTGGCTGCTCCTGCTTCAGGCATTCTAACAGGGATCCTCTGCTGTGGTCGATTGGCTGAACTGATGCACCAGGCGGGATAGGGGATGAGGCGGCACCTTCTTTCCCACCCACTCTCTTGCTCTGCACCCCCTGGCTGCCCACTTGGGCTGCTCAGCTTGGTGAGGGTGTTTAGCCACCTTGGTGTGGAGCATTGAGGGCCAGGAAGCAACTCTGAGAGCAAAAGAGTTCCCACAGAGGGCTGCCTTTTCCTCCTTCTCATCTCATAGTTGCGCACTGGCTACTGTGCAAGGTCCTGTGCCCTAGATCACTGCCACTGGGGAAGGAGACGAGTGGGTATTCCCCTTTTTGAAGTGCCTGGTGATATTTATTTTTATATTTTTAAAGTACTGTTTTTTAAAATACATTTGGCTAGCTGATAGGTCACATTTTCCATCCTTTTGTCCCTCCCTTTCCCTTAATCCTTTAAAATTTTTTTCTTGGCTCTTCTCTTGCCTGTTATTTTCTTTCCTAACAAGTGAACTTTAGAATCAGTAACCCCAAGTCTTCTAGAATTTTAATTGAATTTGCATGTGACTTATTTTGTTTGAGAAAAATTGTCATCTAAATTAGAGGATGATAAGGGGCTGGCCCCGTGGCCAAATGTTGAAGTTCGAGCGCTCGGCTTTGGCAGCCCAGGGTTTCGCCGATTTGAATCCTGGGCATGGACATGGCACTGCTCATCAGGCCATGCTTAGGCAGCATCCCACATGCCACAGCTAAAAACAAAAAAAGAAGATTGGCAACATGTTAGCTCAGGTGCCAATCTTTAAAAAATAAATAAATAAATAAATTAGAAGATGATGCTGTCATTCTAAGAAATAAAAAATGATAAATACTAAGCCTTCCCAGGTGTTGCTCACCAGATTGCTTATATCAGTTGTGATTATTATCAATTGATTGATTATCCCCATATTTATTTCTAGTTTTGGTTTCATTTTTGACAGGTGCTTATCAGAAGTGAAAATCTTTTACTATGCATTTAAAACCTGCAGCTCCTTTTAAAAAACATAAATGTTTTACAGGTTCTTGATCAATATGAACAAGAAGGATTTAATTTCCTAGAGAAGGTGTTTAATTCCTCACATTCCTTCTTAGAAGACTTGACTGGCCTTACATTGCTGCATCAAGAGACCCAAGCTGCTGAGGTAAGAATAAAACAAGCTTTCTGTCCTGTGGACTGATATGTTTGAAACTTATTTGATGTTCAGATTTATGGAAAAGGAAGGAAGCAGTTAATTATGATTTTTTTTCCTTAGAACAAACATCAATAAATAAGTCTGCTAGTTATCAGAGGAGAAGGAACCTTCTGCAATTGCTGGATGCTGATGTGTGCAGGTTGTTGTATAGTGGGTGCCTAATGCACAAAATTGCTGATAAAGGAAGTACAGGCTATTGATTTCCAAACACCTGTGGTCCTTACTGCAGAACAGCATGCCTGTGGCCATTGAAGAGTTGGCTCTAATGTCCTTATATCAAAATGCAAATCAGGGAAGACATGGGACTTTGGCCATCTTCTTCAGAGAGAACATGCCTGGCTTTTATTTCACAATTTGATCAGTCTTCATAGGCCACTGAACCCCACCATGAAATTGCTTCCTCAGTTACAACCCAAGAGAGTTATGTTTTGCTTGTCAATTAAAACATTTCACAGATCTGAATTTCCTGGGTCACTATAATAGTTTTTTTTTTTTTTCAAAGACTGCGATTGAAAACTGGATTATCATTTTGTTTTTCCAAATGCTCTCTGTTCTTAGAAAAGCATGTTCTCTATATGATGTGGGGCTATTTGGATCACTCGACAAAATGGACAGTTCCTCAAAATGGATGAATGAGATTAAATCAACATCTCTTCCCCTCAGTTACCTGGGTGAAGAAGCTCTTAGGACAATGTGGCCTATCACAGTGTTTCTACAGGCTACATAAGGAAAACGTTGTGGGCCTGTGTCTTGTAGGAGTGGAACACTTGCAAAGTTGCCATTAGGCCTGTAGTCCTATTCATTGATTACTGCCCCACCTCCACCTGGGACTGTGTATCCTCACCATTGGGAGAGGCCCCACTGGTCAGTGAGTAGATGGTCAGACCCAACACTGGACTAGCTGGTGGTGAAAAGGCTGCTGTTTGGAAGATTGGAGCTAGCACCAAGAATAGGAAAACCATGTGGAAATACTAGAGTCAAGTTATTTGGAGCTTTCAGCAGATTTGGGATGAGATTTTTAGGCATGCCAGGGAGGCAAGATAGTGCGTGTCTAGTGCTGGACTTAAAACTGAGACTGGTTCTTCTTTAACTTGCTTTGGTGATCTCTGGGCATTCAACAGATATAGTCTTCCATTTATGACCAATAGTTAGACTCACATAGAATCTCTTAGCTTTACTTTCAGGAGATGAGTGGCATCTCTGCAGGCCTTTAAGAGACTTTGAGATTTTCTCCATAACTGTGATTGGATTCCTAGACAGAGTTCAGAACATTACATTGATCATGGTTGCCATTTTGTCTTTTAAACAGCACTGTACTGCCTGATAATAAGGGAAAAATAACTTAAAGGTCTTTTCAACCATGCAATTGTTTGACTAGTTGGCTAGGGGAATTTTTCTGCCCAGCTAGAAATAATTCATATACTTATCTTTAGTTGGCCAGAAGAATTGCAGCTCAAATTGACCCCATATTTCACTCTTTTAAACAGAGCAGATGCTAGGATAATGAGCCAATTCCTTGATAAATCTGGTTTGTTTTGCTTTTTAGTTGGTCAAACATGAATAGCCTTTTCAAAGACTCAGGAAGAGACAGGGAAGTTTAAGAGAACAGTAGTGACTAGATGGTGGGGCAGGAGGGGGCATGGTTTCATCCACATGTCTTGAGATTTCTTTTTGAAGTTTTCCTCCATTAAATTATAATTTTGGAATCATAAACCACACATCAAATTTTAGATTAGAGTTGGTAAACTGATTGGCCTATGGGCCAGATATGGCTTACAGGTGTGTTTTGTTTGGCCTGCCCTATGTGTTAAATTCTGAGTAAATCCAATGTTTAAAAATTATGAGTTTTACGTAAAAATTTGTATTTTCCCCTTTCCAACCTTCTTGAAAAATCAGATCTGGCAACCCCAGGCCTGCATCCCTTAGTAGCGATGGTTAGCTAGAGCCAAGAAGCAAATTTTTTAGATAAATAATGCACTTGATACAAAATTTTAAAGGTATAAAAATATTCTGTATGGAAAGGAAATCTTCCTTCTGCACCTGTCCCTTACCACCTGCTTTCCTTCCTGGGGAGACACTCTTGTAATTTTTTTTTGCTTAGAGGTGTTCTTTAGGTGATGTTCTCCATTTAGATGATGATGCTCAGTTGATGACCCTTATTTGGTACTGGAATTTGCAACCCCTGTCTTAGAAAACGATCATTATTTTTCTTAAAAAACTCTAGATAAGACCTATTTTAAGATAATGCTCCCCAGAGGATCTCATAGCAACAAAAGCCATTGTCCTACCTACATTATTTTACTTTACTGTAAAAAAAGTGTGTGTGTAAATAAATATGTACATCAAAAAAATATGCACATATCTGTGTAAAGGTAATGTTTTGATTTCTATATTTGATTCCCAGTGCATTTACAGATGTTCAGTAATAAAAATACAAACTTCTGCCTCCCATATAGAAAGGTCCCAACTTATTTATTTTAGCATTGAAATCAAGAATGCCCAATTAATTCTCATCCTGAGCTAACTGGTTTCATCCATCAACATTGGAATTGCAAAAGATTCAACCAGATAAATATGTGACAGTATCATTTTATACATTGTTTATGAAATATGTTTGTACAAATACTGTTTTTTAAAAAAAAAACCTTTCCTGAACATCTTTTGAAAGTTTGATAGTAGGGCGCTGTGCTAGTAACTGAATACGGAAGTTAATGAGATGAGCTCATAGTCTGGTTTGAGAAACAGACGTGAAGAGTGAACTCCAGCATCATCAGAAATGGTTTAGTCGTTTATCTGTTAAGTGCTGAGAGAGCAGTTACTCCTGCGCGGGGGCGTAGGAATGTCAAGGAAAGCTTCACAGGGAAGGAAACAAATAGTCCTGTTAGTCTTAAAGGATGAGTAGGCTCTCTTTAAAAATAGAAGTTGGATTTGAGCAAGGAAAGGCTAGGGAGGTCAAGGAGGACGTTCTAGGCTGGAGAAAGGTCTCGGAGGCCAAGAGTCTGTCGTGTGTCACTCGGAATCGTGAGCATGTCGTTGGAGCCAGAGTGACCTGAAGTCAGATAATGTGTTTTTAGTAACAGCTTTATTGTGTTATAACTCACATGCCATGAAATTCATCCTTTGAAAGTGTATAATTCAGTGGTTTTTAGTATATTCACAGAGTTGCTGAGCTACTATTACTGGTAAGTTTAGTACATGTTCATCACCCCCAAAAGAAACTCCGTACCCATTAAGCAGTCACTCCCCAGCCCTCTCCTTCGGGCCTGGCAACCGCTACACTCTACTTTCTGTCTCCGTGGCTTTGCCTCTTCTGGATGTGTCACATAAGTGGAGTCAAACAATATGGGGCCTTTTAAGTCTGGCATTTTTAAATTAGCGTGATGTTTTCAAGGTTCATCCATGTTGTAGCAAGGTAATTTCTTTTTTATTTAAAGAAAACAATGTTTTGACGCTATTAAACTTTCCCATATCCCTTAATGTCTGTGGTCTCTCTCCCAAAATACAGCCTCTTTATGAAGGAGGAATGCAAAGCTGATCCTACTACAGACTACAAATCCCTTTATTTTCATAGACAGGGCCACAGAGATAATGAATTGGAAGATGTATGCAAGACAGGTTCATCAGATTTAGTGAGATTGAATAGTGCAACCCAATTTTTTGTACCCATCCCTACTCCATCATCAAATATCCAAAAATGATTGCCGTTATTTTAATCTAGGTTACTAGTGTGATCATAGTGTTGAGATTAACACACAAATCGCCTGGTTGGTTTTCTCTTGGAGGAAGGGTCGAGGTACAAAGTGCAGAGTTGGGGACTGGGAGTGGGGTGGAGGGAGGGTGCCAGACTTACAAAGATGAGTTTGTTTCAGGTTGTGATGATTTTGAGGTAATGGAATAATTGAGTGAAAATGACTGGATGGTATTAGAGACAGGTTGGAGGTAGAGCTTAGAGAAAAAGACCAGAACTGGTAGGTTGATTTAGCAGATAAAGGAAAATTATCCTGTTTAATTTAGTGCAGTGAGGATAAGCTGTAGAGCTAGGATGCAATAAAAGTATTTAAATGAGAGGTGTGTGGTAGATTAATCTTATCTCAAGTTATAGATTAAAAAATTAAAAACACTCACTTCATAAATGTTTTGCTGATATTTCATAAAGAAGGGGTCTTAGACAGAGACCCATGTTCTTTGTAGCCCATCTAGCTGCCAAATTATAGTTACATTCTCCACATGAGGTATTAGAATGCCCCACAGGCAAAAGGCCCTACTCAGCTTTTTACCCTCTTAAAATGTTGCCATCTGAATAGAGAATATCTCATGAAGTTCTGACCTTTACTTTCAAGACCCTTATTGAGAATGGGTTTGGGTACTTGGAGATTAATCCCAGTTGCCTCTTGCTCCTATTGATGTCTATTTATCCAGTTGGAAACAAAGGAATTGGCCTTAAAGCACAAGATGTCCATGTCATGAAGCTGTTGAAGTGCTCACAGATACTTTTTAAATTGCTGAATTTGTTGAAGAAAGGCTCAGTCTAAATCAAACATGTGAATGACTCAGCCATCTTTTCATAAAATTTGCCATGACTTGTCTTCTTAGGGTTCTTTTTCATCAAGTATCAGTTCACATGTACTGATTTAGTTCCAACTGTGGATTCAACATTGAGCTGTGGGAAATGCCAAATAATTTTCAAACTCCAAAAGGCTGATTCATAAGAGAGTTAATAAAACAAGCTATGTTAGTTTATCTTTGAGAAATTCAAATTCCAAAATCCCCGTAACCCAACTTCCCTGAAATACTTCATTCTCATTCTTGAAAGTCTACGAGCTCCGTGATTCCAGGATTAACTTTAGGCTATATATTCTTCCCTTGTCTTGACTATGTTATCAATATTTGATGCTGTATCATGCAGTTATGATTTCAGGATTGCAGTTATAATTTCAGGATTGCAGTTA